CGTCTATTATAGTATAATGTAATCATTAATTAAACTAAAACGATTATATCGGTCCGAACGAAATGAGTTCCAATGAAAAATTCAGCACAGCGGTTATTAGAAGGCTCCTTCTAATACACACACCTTATAAATATTGAAATAGAACGCAGGACACAAAGTATAAACCGGGTAAGCGCAGGCTCCTTAGATGAGGTTAGCCACATCGCTGGGCATTTCTGAGATGCTTGTATGGTAGAACTCCTCAATGTCCTTGAGTGCTCTCCTGTCAGCTTCAGTGACAAAGTTAATTGCGATTCCTTTACGACCGAAACGCCCACCTCTTCCAATTCTGTAAAAGAAAAATGCAATTTTTGTACAACAATTTTTATACAATCTATAAAATATAAAATTTTGTTGCCATTAAATAATTTTATGAAACATCAAAATTGGAAATCACATTTGTTACAAACAAATAACAATTTTGAAATTTTTTATTTAAAAAAGTATTTACTGAAAGAGTATTATTTCTAGCACTCGAATATCAAAGGCATTTATGGAACTTCAAACTATGTAACATTTATCAAGTAACTAAGTATGTGACAAGAATCTTCTCTTTGATATTGAATTTTATTTTGATGCGACACAAGGTTTTTAAGAAGATAAGTAATATTAGATTAGGGTATAATGACTCAGTAAAATTTAAACTGTTCTTGATTTAAATACGAGAATCAAAAATTTCTACATATACAAAATACTTTCGATTCTTCTAGCTATCTAATTTATAATAAATAAATGTTACTTGTCACAGTTGACTTATCACATATAAAATCAATAGCAATAGATGTGTAATTGATTATTTCTACATTATTAGTGTGCAGCTAAGCCTCATATTATTATATAGCAACAGGGATACTTTATAAATTCTTTTAACTAAAATGTTACCCTTATGATAAATGAACTTATGGCTAAATATAGCCATTTATTTGTCATTTTACACTTACCGATGGATGTAGTTTTCGCGGTTGGTAGGCAGATCATAATTAATTACGCAAGAGACTTGCTGAACGTCAATACCACGGGCAAGTAAATCAGTAGTGATCAAAACACGAGAAGATCCTGTACGGAACTGGCGCATAATGACTTCGCGCTCACGTTGATCCATATCACCGTGCATAGCAGACACGGTAAAATCACGCTCATGCATCGATTCAGTCAACCAATCCACCTGAAATAAACAGATACTTAAATTACCAAAAGCATTCATTAAAATGCAAACAATTTAACACTATTTAAAATTAAAACAATTATTAAATCATGTAAAGATTTTAAGTATTTTAATAGAGACATATTTGAACAAATTATTTTGAATTTGATTGTTGTAAATACAATTAAAATAAACATGAACAACAATGCTATTTTCAGACAGCCATTGGCATTAGTTAAAATAGTTGTATGTTGTATGTATATAAGTTCCCAATTTTGCAGTCAGAATACGAATATTTGTTTATAACTGAAATGTAATTTACCTTGCGACGGGTGTTACAGAAAATTACAGCTTGAGCGATCGAAAGTGTATCATACAAATCACAAAGTGTTTCCAATTTCCACTCTTCCAGTTCAATCGAAATGTAGAATTGTTTAATACCCTCCAGTGTAAGCTATAAAGATACAAATTATATATTATTAGTCTTTATTTTTTGTGATCAGTTTTATATATTCCATGTGTGCAGAAACACTTCTGCAAGACAAAACATTGCAACACAATGATTTCAACATACCTCTTCCTTTTGCACAAGAATGCGCACTGGATCTCTCATGAAGCAGCGGGACACTTCAAGCACATCATCTGGCATTGTAGCAGACAGCAAAATAACTTGCACATCAGCTGACAACATCTTGAAGACATCATGAATTTGATCTTTGAATCTGAAACATCAACAATACAATAGTAGTTGTTGTTTGTAATATTTTAATAGTAGTCATAGTCTGGCCAATGGTGCATTAACTATTAGGCCACCATGACTACTACTCAAGCATGGTAATTTGAAATAAGGCCTTTACACAGCAGTGGCAATTTTATAGGCTGATGATGTAATTACTGGATGCCAGTATATATTATTTATTATTTGTGGGCTTTTTTCACTTTTCCACAAGGCATGGTAATATTGGTATTTAAAGTAACTGTAAATACTTTCTTGTCTTATAAAACTCTATAATTGAATTAATATATAGAAGCTTGTTTAGAAATCACGAGCTATGTTAAGTATTAACATACTACTTGTTTTAATGTTTTGAGTAAATAAAACAATGAGCTGACTCACCCTCTTGACAACATTTCATCAGCTTCATCAAGTACAAACAACTTAATGGTGTTAGCACGCAGAGCGCGACGAGTTATCATGTCGTAAACGCGACCAGGCGTTCCCACAACCACATGAACACCACTCTCCAGCTGACGAACATCTTCACGCACATTGGTGCCGCCAATGCAAGCATGGCATTTAGCATTCAAGTGATCCCCTAGAGCAATCACGACCTAAAAATAAGGACAATCAATTGTAGCCAACATTATGTACACAGTGTTTGACAGCATAATTACCACTATATAACAAAAAATACCATGTTTCGTACCTTTTGAATCTGTTGAGCCAGCTCCCTAGTAGGTGCCAAAATCAGCGCTTGGCATTCACGAATACTGGTATCAATTTGCTGAAGAATTGAAATAGAGAACGTAGCAGTTTTTCCAGTACCAGACTGGGCTTGCGCTATGACATCACGGCCCTGAATGCAAGGCATAATGGCGCGTTGCTGGATAGCGGACGGCTTTTCAAAACCGTAAGCATAAATTCCTCTCAACAATTCTTCCTTCAAATTCATGTCGTCAAAGCTTTCCACGACCTGATGCCAGTTTGTATCAAGAGCACCTTGGGGTTCCATTCCTGGAGGCCCGTCATAGTTGCCTTGATCCTTTGATGGCCCATTTTTGGAATCCTCCGGCCAATCTTCTGATCTGAGAAACATAATATAAAATGTAGTAAACAAATGAATCTGTGAGAGAGATATACTTAACCTTTTATAAATGAATATGTAATTGTGTGAAAATTGCAGAATTACTAGTGCTTCTGTCAAACTCGCTTTTTACTACAATGATATTATTATGCAGTTAATAATAACAAGAAACACGATTAAACCAACACATAACAAATATTATTGCAAGCATTTCATACATTTTAATAAAAAAGCAGAAACTGCAATAAAAAACACGTGCGCTGAATCAGACTTACAATAAAGTACTATTACCAGCGCCATGTTGGCAATCGGCGACAGGGACATGGGATTTATTTCACAACTTATGGCACATTATATAAATTTACTAAGCTATAATAAAATCTAAAGTTTGTGCTTTCAGTTACAAGGCATTATGTATTGTAAATAGGGCTTAATTACTTCAAGAACTCCACTTACCTTCTTTCTGGTGAAAACGACATGTTACAATCGCGGTAGCTGAACGGAAAAGAACTAGCAAAGCATAAGCAAGGTCAAGTTAAGTTAACAGAAGCTTTTTTTATAGGTTTTTTGAATTTCACAAATGTAATGTACAAATTGTATGACAATAATTTTAAAATATTTTTTTAAGATTTATAAAATTAATAAAACTTTACAAACGTGCGCGAATATTGTAAGGCGGATAATACTAAAATAGTGAGGAATGAAACACCGGACGTACGTCACGCTAGTTTATGGAATAGATAGAGAGTTTCTATACTCTATGCACATTTTTTAAGAAGTATCGATTATTGTCTATTACCTAACCTTTGAATTATTTTTATTTTAATTTATCTCAAACACTTTACATAATATTACTTTACGTGACGCAGATATTTTATGTCAAAAAATGTCAACCTCTTTCCGATTAAAATATAGATACTATAAAGTGTACCATTCACCGCCCTGTTACTAAACAGGATGAAAATGTCAAAAATAGGAGGTTAATAAATATTTTGTTGGCAGTTTTGTCATGGCTTTATGTTTATCATTTTTTGTTGAAGGCCAACTGGTAAATAGTTCCGCCTGAAATGCGATAGACATTTTAATACAACTAGTAACAAGAAATAGTCCCATCTTTCAAATTAAATATATTATAGGCAGTCTGGCAGACAGAACAAGCTTAAACTTCTGAAACCAATACATTTGAAATAAAAAGCTTACACAGTGCTAGAATAATGGTGGTGGTGTAATAAAGGATGTGACAACTACTTGTATCTCGTATGTAACAATTTTTTTTAATTACACTCTCATTTTTTATAAGACATAAATAGATTTTTAAATAAAAATTAATTGTAATTAACAAAATACGCAATGGGAAATGTATATTGAACGAAAAATAGTTATCTAATATGAAAACAATTCTTCTATCTATAATAAGTATGAAAAATGACAAACTTCAAATTACATGTTTTATCTGTTTATCTTTATACGACTATGCTTATGTGTTATTTCAAGTACATATGCTATTTTCTCTAAAATGTTTCTAAAATAGCCACAGAAAAATGTTGGGCATTGTTGGGCTTAACTTTGTTAAGATAATGAACACTGTAAACCAAAGTTTTCTTAACGAAGCATATCGTAAATTAAACTTACATAATATTTGGGTACATTTAACACTATGGGAAAAATTGGATTCCACCAGGGCCCAGGTACCTAACTTATTTGACATAAAATAATATACTCGTATGTGTGAAAGTCAGTGATAAAAAGTTTTATGGTGTATTTATATACATGTATTAAAATGTTTCAGAATTATATAGTTTTAGTATTTGCCACATCATTTTATTAAATGTTTACTACTTTATATAGCTAAAATCAGTGAATACATTTTTTATTGCTAGATTAGTTACCTATCTATATGTGTATACATTAAAATAAAATAAATATTAATTAAATATATAAAATAAATATTAATTCAATTCAAACTTGTTTACCAGAAAAGTTTCTTCTCTATGGAAACCATAAACCTATTTGTACATATTGAGCTTGTAAAGTTGGTCATTGAGTCCTTCCGGTTGTGTCTATGACTACGCTGCCATTTTGAAACGGCAGTGCTTTTTGTTCGTGTGAAGCGCTTGCTCGTTGTGAGGAGTAGATTGTGATTTAGTCAAGTGTAGTTTTATTATAAGTCGAACTCAATCAAAATGAGCTGGCAAGATTATGTCGATAAACAGTTAATGGCATCCAGATGTGTTACAAAAGCTGCGATTGCCGGTCACGACGGGAATGTCTGGGCCAAGTCGGAAGGCTTCGAAGTAAGTTTTCCTCTGCCAAATATACACCTATAAAGTCAGTGATTTTCTAATCTTCTTAATTCGTGCATTAATCAGTGTTACATAGTGCCATTTAGTGCAATTCTTATGTAGGTTCGACGGATGACGAATTCTTTATCCGGCGAGTTTGACAAGATGGCGACATGTGGTGGGAGCATGCAATTCGGATTAGAAACGTAAATTCGCTGCGTTGCAAATAATTTGAAAAATACATTCTATTATTAAATGCACGATTTTTTGTTATATTTAAATTGTACCTATTGTATTGCCATTGAGCGCCACTTATTGCGTCCTTTAGAAATGCCGGCCGGTATTTTAGTTTATATTTAAATAATATTTTGTGCAATTTTTGAATTGTTAAGTTTATTAATCGTGCTTATTACATAATATAGATATGTATATACTTAAAACCTATTAGAATAGTGATGCACTTTACAACTCATCTATAGATCTTTCACATATTACCAAAGTTCTTTTGAGGAAGCTACTTTAAAGGGCGGACACCTAATTTGAAGTATGTTCCATTTTAGTAGTTCCAAGTTCAGTTTAGACATTTAATTGCCTAGCTTTACGAAAAGTTAGTCTTTTTGGGAATAAATGATTTAACTCAAAGGTGCACAACTTTATTCAGTAAAGATTATATAAAAATAAAATTAAACGTTTTATTAAAGGTATGCAATTGGTATCAAGGTACATAAGATTATGATAAAAATGAATTTAAATCTTAAACTTTATTTTAATTGGAATTACATACACTATGGTTTAAAAATTTGTATTCTGTTAGACTAAACAGAATTCTTAATCCAAAAAAACAATAAATATAGTTTTTTAGTAAAACATTGTTTCTGATCTTCTTACTGATTATTACTTGAGGTACCATTCAATTTAATAGTTTTTACGAATGTTACTTTTTATTATGATAAACATTACCTCAAAATGTACTATTTGAAGTACAGCAATACTGTGCACACATACAATGTTGTAATGTGATGGGGGAGGGCTCTTCTACCACTACTGGGCAATCTATTAATTTTGTGTTTAACATTAAATATTTATTAATAACCAAGTTTGATTCTATCTATATAATTTATATTTACGCTAGCTACTGCCGCGCGGTTTCACTTGCTGCTCGGCTCCTATTTGTCGTAGGGTGATGTTTTATAGTCTATTATAGCATGTAAGAACATTGTATCTCAAAGAATTTTGGAAATCCAACTAGTGGTTCCAAATATTACTACCTACATACTAATTTACAAATTTTACCTCTATGTTTTTAGGGTTCATGTATGTATGTATTCATAGAAGTATCAATAGATTAGTCATAAAATTGATCTCTGTCTCTTGTCCACCATTAACAAGATGGTTGCATTCGTTTTCACTTTGTTAGGACCCAGTTACAAATGTTTACATGTTTATGGCTTGTAAATAACTAAATTGAAGAGCAAATATTTTTGCTACGAAAAAAATTAGGTTTAATATCCTTTAAATTTCTTAGTGACATAGGAAACTAGGGAGTACATGTAAAATTCAATCCTGAAGGATTATATAGGTACAGACTCAAATACTTAATTTTTTTTATATATAAATTACTCTCTAAGCAGGTTGTTAGATTTTATCAAAATAATACAGTTTGTTTTAAATTCACCACTCGAATTGCCACACAAAAAGTTGGGAAGACTGGTGCCCCACCACCATGTCGTGGTTTTTACATCAAATCATGTGATCAATGAAGAGCAATTTAACCACTCGAATCCCGACACGTTGCACAGCAGAACTCAGAGTCGTAGTCTATCTGGTTCAAATCATTTGACACGGAATTTTTTCGAAAAACATTAAGTTCGTTTTTGTGTTAGATAGTGTTGAAAATTTATTTTTGTTAACAGATATCAAAAGATGAAGTCGCCAAGATAGTGGCCGGTTTCGACAATGAATCAATGTTAACGAGCGGGGGCTTGACGATAGCGGGTACACGGTACATCTACCTCAGTGGCACAGACCGCATCATACGCGCAAAACTTGGCAAGGTCGGCGTGCACTGCATGAAGACACAGCAAGGTAGGCAATTGTCTTAAGATAACATTATATTGTATGATATTTCCTATTTGTTATTTCCTAGGTTATTAATATCTTTATCGGTGATATGTTTCTATACCTGAAAACCAATATAATATATTTTTTATACTACAATGTAGTTTTTGCTGTATATCGATTCGCGATTAGTAACTTAGCACACTGAACTTGCTTTTGTGATTTAGAAATATCAGTGATTTGCACTAGCTTTAAAAAAATTAGATACGTGATTCCACTTCACTCGCCTGCGGGGTGGGCGGTACTCATCGCATTGTAATCAATTCTCTAAAGTTGGAATATGAGCTTTTAGGTTAAATACTATAATGTGGAATTTTTTTGACCTCACGTATAACACACACGAGGGCAAGAATAAGCACGTTCAGGAAATGCGTGTACTTAGTAATGTAAAACGAGGTTCAGTTTTTTTATGCTTGACCGTGATCGATTACGTCTCTGCTCTCTTATCTTCGTAGAATGAAATCTGACAATATTAAAAAAAATATAAATATTTATAAATGCGTGTATACCTATAAATCTTTATATACGTAGTTATCAGGTAAGATACTCATTCACCGATATAAATAAGCAGGTGAAATGGTCGAAGTGATTCAATAAGATCGCGTTGGTAAAACAATAATAAAACCTTCAGTTAAGTTTTGACTGGTAGAAAATAAGTATATTAAATAATCCACATTAAATTATATTGTTTTACTTATCTTATTTTTATTTGGAACTAGGTAGGCCTGTACTTAACAATATGTGCCATGCAGGTTAACGTCAAATAATGACGTCTGTAACCGATTCCCGATTCCCTAAAAATGTTTTGCCATAATTAGTTAACAACAATTTTGTGGTCATTTCTGTGTAAGAAGTTTAAATCACTTCTTCCTTATTTATGTTATAATTGATTATATGTAGTGTATGTTGAATTAAGTCGAAAGTTTGTAATTATGCATAATGAAATTGTTCTTTCCATTTTATGTGAATATTACGTACTTTCGTTGTTACCTTCCTTACGTTAACGAAAGGGAAAGTTCGTACTTGAGCACCGTTACATGTTAGGAAAGTGAATCAAGATGGCTGTCGTGAATACATTTACAATGGGTAGTTTATTTCAATATTTTGTTTCAGCCGTCGTAATTTCTCTGTATGAAGAACCCATCCAACCCCAGCAAGCCGCATCCGTAGTGGAGAAGTTAGGAGACTATTTAATTACCTGTGGTTATTAGAGGTGAGTCCCTAAACGCGTTTTATCTAAGAAGATGCAATTGTTTTCGGCAACACTTGAAAAACTACATTTCTTTCTTTTACAGATCGAAGCGCGCCGTGATCTAAGAATACTATAAGATAATATTTTTTCCACAGGGAAATAAGTAACTGCATTTTGTATATTCTATAAAGTGATAAGGACCGTTCATTTGTTTTGATATTCGATAAATTATGGCGTCATCAGTGCGTGATGCGTTTAGTAACTGTGTGCAGATGCAATTACTTTGCGGATTTTGGACCCTTTTTTTACGCTCACCGCTTCCATAAAGTAATTGTGTGCTGTAATGGTATAAACATGTATTTTAAAGTTTGCTTTTATTGACCAGTAAGCAGCTTTGCAAGCAGGTCTCAAAGCATGATGTATAGAGATTTTTTTAGGTTTCTTCTCAAGCATTCTGATACTTTATCTGGCGTGTACAATGATCTAAATTATAATCAAGGTAGACTTTAAATATCGTCACTAGCCATCTAGACACAAATGCCCACGTACAGATGCTTGAAAAGAATTATAATAACCACGTAATGAAATTACTGTAACAACATTATACAACATATATATATAATTATAAATAGCATTCGTGTAAGGGCTTGTTACAAATTGAAAGACACTGTAACCCAAGTATTACGATTTTAATTGAAGATCTCTAGTCCCACTGGAACCATCGTGTGAGTAATATCCGACACATGAGTGCGTGGCAAACGAGGTTCGGGCCACGACGCGCCGCGGTCCGTCCTCATAGCCCGCTATTACATTTTTCTGCTATGCTTTCTTTTAATTGTGCCGCATTTATAATCTTGTGTAGTGAATAATAAACATTTTGCATTCTGTTCTATTCTATATCTTAGCTGCAGAAATAGAAGCGCTCAATTACCCTGTATCCTCAGACAAGGCTTGCAGTAAACGAAGGGTGCATATTGTTTATATTTGATATTACTACTATAGCTTTGTACATTGTTTCTGATAAGCGATGGGAACTGTGTCTATCTAATAATAAAATGATTTGTATTATAATACGTTTGTTTTCCTTCATTATAAAACTAAATGAGATGGAGCAGGCAAAGGAAGTATACAATAAAATACGAAAGCATAATTGCTAATGAACATAATTTTTATTTTCCTTTTGACAAAATCTACAGTATTAAAGAGTTAAGTACACTCGATTACAAGGATTGGTATAAAATGTTAAACTTGTAGCAATAATAAAATCTATCAAGTGAATTTGGTTCTTTAGCTTCAATATTCGAGCAAAGTTTTTTAGTAATATGGTAAATAATAGCGATGTGGTTTAGTTTTCCAGTGAAGTAAACATGTATACAATTGATTAATTACTTTGCTAGAGCGTTTTATAACATGAAATAAAACGCCTTATACTTGCTACGTGGTTATCTACATTTCTACAATTCTATTTATATGAAAAGAAAATTCTTGCCGTGTAATAATAAAATACGTACTTATCACATCTTAGAAATAAATTATGCGTTGATCAAAGCACGAATTATACAAACCAATACACAATGTTTGATATACCTATACATCAGAATTATTAAAATAATAATACTCCGATTTCCACAAGCCAACACGACTTATTTGCTACTAAGATTCCATAACCAATTTCGATCGGTTACCGAAAATGTACTATAATTACTCAAATACGTACGTACTCGCACAAATTGATTAGGTAATAATTTTAATTGATCAAAATGACATGTCACATGACTCCCATATTAAACAAGTTTAAAAAATATATTTGTCATGTTCGTTCAAAGACACTTCTGAATCGTTTTCACAGAAGTACCCATTATGGATCCGCTACACCTATCTTTCATAATACATTTCTTGATTGCCATCGCTGAGGGCTAGGAATTCAAAACGAATCGTGGTCAGGTCGAGAATCTCCCATGGTGTTTCCTCAAGGATGCTCTAGAGAGTAGTGGCGAGATTTTTTCCAGAGACTCCGGAAGAACCCTTTGCGTTGTTTCTGTCCTGGATGCTCCTCGCCTGTTAACAAAGAAACAAAATGTCGGTTAAACCCCAATCAAACTAAAGCGGCTTGTCTACGGAGCTTTTTCTAATCGACGGTAAACTTCTAAAACTCTATCAGCTTATACTTTGCAGACACAGCTTTATGAAAGGTTCGTTTTTTTTCATATGCTGATCACAATAGCCACTACTAAAATAGAAATCTCTGTTTTGATCTCCGGGCCGAACAAAGGACTGTTGAGCTTTAATTCGATTTTGGAAAATTCACAACAATGATAACTTAGTCTTTCAAAAGCGTAATAGATCGCTGTATTAGATTTGAAGAGCCTACCCGGTTCCTGTTTAGGAAATAAACTAATCATACCTAGGTACATATGATATTGTAAATTTTAACGCTGAGGGTCGTGAACCCTCTGCTGGGGAACGCGAATGTCAAGTGTACGAGCGCGCCGCAGTAGTCGGTTCGGTCCGATGTGTCTCGGCAAGCGGGTCGATACGACGCGTATTACCTACCTACCTACTTATATACAGATGGAGCGTATGTACTTCGACCCGAACGCCCGTTCCGGTGGCGATGGAAACTGTATACTGTACTCAACATTCAAAACCTTATCTCCCATCCCAATTTTCCTTGTTTATGGCATCACACGAGCGATTACCGCTAGACCGATTCCGATAATCCATTTTTATGCGTTTGTTATTGGGAGGTCTTATTGAAGGAAAGTTATAGAAATTAGGAAATATAAACAAATTACTGGCCGCTAGTCTGTAGTAGGTATTATAGCTATTTATAATTTAGTTACAGAGTAATAAATTGTAAAATTCACTGTAAATAGTATAAGAACATATTCCTTCGTCTTTGGAGTACCTAACCATCACCATTACAAAATGAAGTACCTATTTCAAATTTCACTTATAAGAATTTGAAATCGTCGAACATGTGCGAGATACCCGTGATTCCGTTAAATTTACAGCTTCGATTGGGTTAAAAATGTTCACTTGCTCAGGTGTTCAGAACCTAATTAGCTGCACTTTTTTTACTTGATGCTCTGGATAAAGACATGAATTAATTTAAAGCTCATAAGACCGTGAACGATTACTCTCAGGCACCATTATTGCACTCGGTACCTACCTATGCTTTGTGTTTGCAAAATTATTCGGTTTAAGACTGTGGCAATATGGGTGAATTAATATATCTTTTTGTATTATTAGCTAGGTATCTAATAACTAATAATAAAACAAAAATATATATTAATTCATCGATGTATTCAGAACTGTTAGTAGGGCATCCGTAAATAAACTACAGTAAGTAGGTAGTTTCCAGCACGCGTCCCAAATGCCATGCACGCTGCCTAAAATAGTCGTGGACTGGGCTACGTGAGATGCCGCAGCGACATCCGACTCCGTTGCTTGTAAACGCAATTCGTCTTATGTACGAACTCCAGAAAATACGTCAAATTGTCTAATCCAATTAGCTACGTAGGTACTAGCAATATATTAACTTATTTTTTAGTTTTAATTAATTAAGGTTAAGAATTACGACCGTATTACTTTAAACCGATCTTTAATAAAGTTTTTTTTTTAATAAATTTGACAATAATGCGTAAATGCTTAATAGCGTCATTTTATACATGGACTGATTTTGGAAAAAATACTATGGCAATTTGTATTTATAATAATTATGTACCGGTCCCCTACAGTACTTGTCTCATGCAGTGGAGGTCTTTTCAGTTCAAGTTCATTAGCTAGATTCCCCGCAAAGTCGCAACTTTCGCAATAAGTATTAGTTGTATTGTATGAGCTTTGCTTAGTGACTTATTCCTAATTTGTAAATCAATACGACGAAAAATCTAATATTACTAGGGGGTTATGCCATAATTATAAGCTTACGAAAGCTCCCTTTATTGTGTTGAACAAAGGTAATGAAGATAGAACCCTTAAGGTGACTAAGTAAAAGATCAATAATGATCTTTTACTTAGTAAAACGAAGCCTCTTATTTTTAAATAAAATAATAAGTATTACCTAATATATGTATTTTAGAAAACTCGTCACGTACTTTGACCAATAAGTGCAATCTGTTTGCTCGAGTGACAAAAATCATTTTAGGAACTAATCAGGTCACGAAGATCGAGTTAGAGAAGTGCGAAGGGCTGATGCGAACGTAGGGAGGCGCGCGGGGTCCAGGGGTCGTCGACACTTTGGTGAAGGGCAGCGAGGTCGGTCGGTGCGTTCGCTTTCGTAGCCGCGCGACGGCGACGGAGGCCGGCAGGTGGGCGTGCGAGGGGCGGCGGCGCGGCGTGGTGGTGCCGGCGTCGACGGCTCCGCGTATTGATCGCAGCTGCGCTCGCAGCCTCCCGCACTGAATCCGCGTCACACTATATCTCTTTACTTATTTCCTAAATGTTCGCTGTCGTCAGATTTCTTGATTGTTTTGAATGTTTGGTTTCGTTTAACATGTACATTTACGAGAGCTGATAATTTGGTACTCAGATTAACATCTTTACGTATATTCTACTATAAATAATTTAGTTGCAAATCTACATAGTAGGTAGTTAGTTTGGTAATTTTTTGATTTCATCGGAATCAAGATTTGAACTTTATGATTTAAGTAACATCATTAATTTGAGTTAAATATCACACTTTACCACGGATATCGCCGCTTGCAAGAATTTTCGTCACTACCTACAAATTTTGTATTATTGCCTTAATTTCAAAAAGCACACTAAGTCCGCCGTCACATTGGTAGTGTAGTTCAATATTCGGACTTTCTATCCAGTGATATTGATTTGATTCACAACTATAATTATATCAGTAACAGTTAAGGGGCAAATCCTCTGTTAGCGCGTCACACGCACACGTGTTGTTCTATATGGCGTTTAACGTAATGTCGTGATAAAAAGTAATGTCGCTTGGAGTACTACCTAGGTATTATATCTAGCAGGTAAGTAGTTTGCTGAACACTACTAGCGTAGGTTCAAGGAACAAGACGTTTAGAAGCTTGGATGTCTGAGAATTCTAAGTACTTAGGTAGTTAATTAGAGGCACAGTTGCACGATCGCAACTACATACTTATCAATTGACTGCCAACGAATGTAACGGTTTAAAATAAAATAGGCAAGTAATGTTTGCGGTATAGAAGAGACTAGTATAAAAATATTACAGTGTAGTAGGACGATGATAGCGTAGACCAGCTTGTAACGTAAGTTAGCTAGGTCGTTGCTTGCCGCAGCGACCGCGGCTCCCGAGCGGCGCCGGCTATTGTTTCTGCAATACGATCACTGTGCTGCGCCCGCGCATACATCTCCGCTACTAAACTTTGCTCATAATCGGAATAAAAAATGTTCTCATTTAATTTGAACTGGAGTGGTAATAATAAGTATTATTTGCCATTTTCTTCCTTATAAATCTTACTCGGACGTTGAACCAAGATAAGAGTGCGATGCGTTGACCTCTTATCACTGGCGGACAGCTTTTATTAATTGACCTTGTTATTGAATACAAATAATTATTCGTATGTATTTTATTTATTTTCGCACATAATTAATGTTTTCAAAATATATATTATTTGTAGGTAGCTGCGGTATGCACTAGTGGAGACGCTTTCGAACCATAAGCAATTTTAATGTAATAACTCGAGTGCACTAATTAACAACGAGAGGCGAACATATCCGCGGCGGCAATATTTACCGTTTGTGCAAAATGCAAAACTAATTGGAGTTCGGAACAGCGGTTGAGTTGTTGCTATCTACCACTAGAGAAATGGCTGCCGAATGTGGGATTGAAATTAAACATTATGACTGTGTTTAAGTCTGTATGTGTAGTAATATAAAGGTTTCTAGGCTAAATTATCCATCTGCGTTTCTGCTAAGTAAATAACTTTACTTTCTCCGAGTAACAGGCTCGCTAGACCAGTGGCTTACGCTTGAACTTGAAACGTCGCACGTTGGTGAAGGCGACACACTTCGCCAAACTGCATTAGTCATTCATACGATCTTCTAATAATCTATACTTAATATTATAAAGTTGAAGAGTTTATATTTGTTGGAATCTCCGGAACTACTGGTTGGAATTGAACAATTCTTTTTGTGTTTGTTAGTCCATTTATCGAGGAAGGTTATAGGCTATAAAACATCACGCTATGATTTGTAGGAGCTGAGTAGCGGGTGATGAAGCCCCGTGAAAGTAGCTAGTTATATATACTTAGTTTTGTAACAAACGACACCTAGTTGCTGCCGCTATAACTGTCATATTGTTATCATCACGGAAATTGAATATTTCAGTAAAACAGTGATACGCTAAATTGTCAAAATACGTAATAGTAGGTGTTTCCTGAAAGATTATGAGAGATAATCTTTGACATGGAGATTAAACGATTCAAGGTTACAATTCGAAGATTGATACGCATGTGAGACAACTAGTTGGTTGTGAGAGAAAACATGTATTACTCCTGCGCTCCTGCGCACCCGGGCTGTCACATACCTACCTAATTAGGTAATTTGCAGCAAACTTGCCTCGTATTCAAAATTAAGAACTAAGTACATTCATTTTGTTTTGGTTTGAAATAACATAGTCTCTTATCAAAGATATAGTCTACACTACATAATTGATGGTTTGGTCAATCTCCGGTAATAAACAGACTAATCTACGCTCCGAAGTGGAACTGATACAACCACTACCCGCCTGTTACATATAACACGAAGATTCCAGTATCAATAATGACGTATAGCTGCGACGAGATGTCTTAATCATGAAGGAAATACGTAGTACTTATGACTCGTCCACATTTTATTGTCTCTCTTAGTGGTGGTGACTAACACAATACTCCAAATAAATGTACCTTATTACATGTTTTACATCAATTCGACAAATGGTATCAGGTAAACGCATTTCCATAACATTTACGTACGGTATCGCTAAAATTCGGTCTGTTTTTTTTCTAATTTAATGGAATAGTTCGTATAAATGATCTTCAGTAAGACCTACTGATAATTGAAAAAAGGTGAGCACATTAAATGTAGTCCTTCGCGGGCAGCCGCCATTATAACATGAATTATTAATCATAGACAATGTTCATTGCAAGTTCATTGACCTTACAGCAAACTATCTATGACATCAACTGGAAGCCAGTAGGTACGCTCTACTAAATAAATTTGAGTGTCGAAAATCAATTA